CCTGTTCGTGGCACGAACCGGTACTAAAGGTGCTGGATGGGCCCCACTCTGACAACATCCTGCCACCACTCTCATTAGTACCGATTCGTGGCATGAACCGGTGCTAAAGGTTTGCCACGAACCGGTACTAATGAAAGCGGCCCGGCTATCCGTTGGAACCGGCACTAATGTATACATTAGTGCCGACTCAAATACAAACCGGCACTAATGTGCTTCACGTTTGACCATTTTTCTACTAGTGTGATCCATGTATGTATCAAAGTAAGCATCAATCATCTGGTTTGATTGATGTTGCATGTTGCCAACTTTGAGCAAGATGGAGAAATAAGTGAGAGTGCATTCAGCCTGGGCAGCATGAGCTCCCTGCCTGCTCATGCTGCTTACATGCATATGCTGATCCAGTGTGTATTGTGTTGTTGTGCGTGATTTGTCAGCTATGGACTGATTGTTGTAATAATAATCGAACTATTACTCCGGCTTCTGCATGAATGTTGATTATGATTTGTGTTAATGCATTGGTTGATTATTAAGGTCCCTTATCTAGCGGGCGCCCGCAGTTTTATGTTTTGGTCTCCACAATGTTTTTGTGTAATTGTCGAAAAAATCTTTTCGTGTAATTCACTCCAATTCTGCGCCCCCCCCTATTCGTGTGTTTTTCTATACCACGAATCAAAGAAGCCCTTAATATATTCATATGGATTGGTTGATTGAACAAGAAGGAAGGAGCCCTTGCTCTGTCGCGACTCGCGGATCCCCTTTTCTCGTGCCGCCCTTGCTCTGTGGCCGCTGCCCTGGATTTGATGCCGCCGCCGCATAATCGCTGCAGCTGGCCGATCCACGGCCAAAACTTGCTGGAGGTGGGGGAGGCGAGTCGGCGGCGGAGGTGGCTTGAAATCGAGGACGTGAGAGAACAGAGAAGTCCCTCTCCGCGCGTGGCCGTCTCCTGGGTGCACATTCTGGCACCACGGCAGCGGACCGGAGCTCCACCCACCGATGCGGACTACCTCTGGGACCGAAGGCGGGCGCGCTCCCCTTGGGGCAGAGGAACGCCGGAAGCAAAGCTCGATCCACCACCTTTCCCGTCCGTTCCGACGCCGCTTGGCCACCACGAGTAAGACTACCCTGGCATTGTGGAGTGTGGAAGAGAAGGCTTGCTTGCACACTCCCCGTCTTGCAACTGCACATGTGCCGATTCCATTTAGGTCTGTGCCTGATCTTGTTTCATTACTGTGTTCATTTACTTCATTTTCTGCTGCATGTGTGTATTCGTTTGCTTAGGTGCAGCAACCTGCTTGCCTTTTGGTTACGTCACTGCCCGATGGCCATGAACAATCACACAAACACTTACTGCTACATACAAACTGGATAAGAAAATTTCTCAAAAAAAAAGGGCATAATAACTGAGTGCTCTTGTTCTGTTTTTCTTTGCTGGTACGAACAGCAATATGGTTCTCCTCCTTCCTCTCTCCCTATATCCAAGGAGATAAACAGAGAATCAAAGTTTCAGAGAAACATCCTCACACCTTGTTCTCTGTTTCTTTATTTATCCCCCTTCAATTTTCTCATGTCCATTTGAGGGTTTGAGCTGTGTTGTTTGGCTAAGAGATGAGATTTGTTCTTGCATACAGAAATATAGGACAGTTCTCTCTCTCTCTCTCTCTCTCTCTCTCTCATAGCCTCATAGGCTGCTGCAGATATTGAGAAATCACCTCCTTTTTCTTGGTGCCTGTCTCTTCAAAAGGCGAGAATTACTCCATTCTGTTTGAATATTACCAATGTGAAAATCAAAATGAAATTAGCCTGTGTTGTGTATGTTTTTTTAGAAAAGGAGGATGACCCCCGGCCTCTGCATTTGGGCGATGCATGCGGCCACTTTATTAATTATTCTCACAAAACCTTACAAAGTCATACAACAGTAAGACTGAAGCCACCGTCTAAGCAACAACTGTCGCTACACCTATCCAGTTGATGAAGGGGCGCTGATAGTCTGGGCCTAATACCAAACAGACATCGTAGCCAAATCTAAACATCTAAGACCTGAGATCCCAACCAGGACGCCTGCCTGGTATGGGGCACCTACCAGTCCGGCGCACTCCTCAACCAGGATGCCTGTCGAGTATGGGGCTGCCGCAGCCACCTGCCACGAGTCCATCTTCAGAGTTGTACTGTTGCATCTACTGTGCCAGGTCTCTCAGCCATCGACGCCACCACGACGCCAGACACCGTCGTCCTCCTGCGCGAGTCCATCCTCCCACATCGAACTCCGAATCTGCACTGCGCAACGCCGTCCAGATCCGTCGCCATCAATGTATGGATGAAGCACCGCTCCATCAAAGAAGCCATCCGCTGGTCCCGCGAAGCCGAGTGCACCTCCAAGAATGCCGCCCCCAAGGGGGTTACGACACATGATTGCCGCCAACATCCGATCAGCTGATCTAGGGTTTCCCCCGGAGTTATTGAGTGGAGTTGGGAGCTTCAACTTGATGATGCCTTCATGAAAGAAACGATGATAAGGGCATCGTCATCACCATCTCCGGCCATCCACCGAAAATCAGCTTTTCACCTGGATCCGTCCCAAGAAATCCACCCAACAACCTGTGCACCGTCTCGACCGCCTTCAAAGCCCCAGATCCAGCCGCCTAGATCCGGCGACCAACCGCGCAGCAACAGTGCCACCGTGGGACCCCTGGCGCACCGGCCACTGCCTGAGTGTGCCACCACTGGAGCCTAAGAGGAGGGCTCCCACCCCGCCTCGCCAAGCCGCGAAAGCCGCCGAGAAGGATCTCGCGCGCTCGTCGCCGTCTCTGATCCGAACCAATCCATAGCAGATCGCCGTTACAAATCCGCCTTGGACAGGGACTGCACCACGCCATGCCGCCGCGGGAAGCCCGAGCTTCACCGGCCTCCACCCTCCAAGGCCGTCGCCCCGGGATCCGGACAGAACTTTGCCGCTGCCACTGGCCAAGTTCCGCCGCCGCCGACCGGCCAAGCCGCCGGTCACTGCATGACCATGCGAGCATAGCCAGCCGGCCAACCAACTCCGACAAAGAAGAAGGCCACCACCACCAAGCCTAGGGCCGGCGCCCCAGACATCCTCGTGTTGCAGATCAAGTCCAGGAACAGTGCCCCGCAGACGGCGACTGAGATCGGTAGCACAACGAATTAGCCCGACATGAGTCAAGGCCAGATCCGCCGTTGCTGGTGCCGTCCTCCCCCGCTGCCGCTGCACCACTTCCATGTCGCCGCCTGTCTGCGCCACCACTGCCGATCTGGCCGGAGAGGAGCACCGGCTCCCAACCAGATCGAGATCCGAGGAGAAACCGCCGCCGCCGCCACGCCACAAGGGCTTTGCCCTGTGACGCCCCGGGCGACGGCGGCGGAGGGGAGCGGAGGAGGGGCGAGGCTGTAGGGGGAGGGCGGCGCCGCCGCACGGGGGAGGGACGGGAGCGACGGCAAAAAGAAGCAGCTACGAGTTGAACTCTAGTCATGAATAAGAATTGGACTTCAGTTTTCGTCTTATCTTTTTCTTATTTTCCTTCTATAGAAATGACACGGCCACAACATGTAAGAACTCTGCATGAATAAAAATCGGTAGTACTGCACACATTCCCTCTGTTCTTTTTCGCTCACTATGTAGAAACCGTCAGTGCTCCATTCGGGCTATGTCTGTGGATACTGCCGTCACCTTATCGACCAGCATTGCCATCGTCTATGACATCTGCAGTGATCACCAAGCATCACTGCATGTGGACCCAAAACGTCGCCACAAGCAGCTACAACATGCAAAGCCAACGGCCGAGCGAATGCATGCGGGGCTGCTATACTGGACGTGATGGCGCGAGTGTAGCAGCATCAGGCCCTCATTTGCATGTACCTGCTGACTCTGAGCAGTAAGAATGCACACTTGCAAGGCAACCTCTGCTCTCACAAGTCACAACCTCTCGTTTGCACGTACCTCATTTGCATGTATCGTCTTGTATTGGTGAGCGCGTATGTTTGGGCGCGCGATCGTCGCTCGTGTGCTTCTCTTCTCCATTCATTTCACAATTTTTTACTCAACTGTTGTAGCTTGTAAGTCCACATAATTTATCCCCTGAAATACAGAGTGTTGCATTCTGGAGCATATGCATGTAGATGTGAAGTGACAAGCTTGTCAGGTAAATGTAAATCTTTACATCGTTTGCCTTTTTTCTATGAAGCAGCCGGTTCATAAACTGAAATCCGAAATGTTGCATCCTGGATTATATGCACTGCAGAAGTGAAGTTCTTATTAAGTAAATCAGTACATATTCATGACTTCACACCAATCACAACCAGGCTATGAGATTTTCTACCCTAGCTGCTTATACAGGTTGGTAACTCATTTTCATGCTATTAATATAATATGTTGCATATGGGACCTTAATCAAGCAGTGGATTAACACAAATCATCACCAACATTTATGCGGAAGTTGGAGCAAGAATTCTCGATTATTATTACAATAATCAGTCCGTAGATGAAAAATCACACACCACAGCACAACGCCACACAGGCTGAAAATCACACACCACATGATCCCACACACCACACCACAACATCTAAGCAGCTTGAGCAGGCAGAGTGCTCATAGTCACACTGCCCAGGCTGAACGCACTCTCTTATTCATTTCTATCTTGCTCAAAGCTTGTAACATACATCATCTATCCAACCAGATGATGGATGCTTACTTTGATGCGCAGTGGCTCAGTTGAGCAGAGCTGACCAAACCAATCAAATCAAATCAAACCAAACTCGTGGATGCACCACCACACCATGGCAATGCAGATCCACGCTGCTGCAGTGGTGCTCCACCTCGGCAGGGCATACGCAAAGCACAAACCAAACCAAACCAACCAAAACAACATGAAATAGGGAAAACAACATGAACCATACATCGCAGCAAAGACATCTGATGTCCAGGAAGCACCACAGGATGACAGGATCGACGCTCGCGTAGAGATCGACCCATGGAAGGAACTGATTACCTACGATGCAGCAAAAACAAATGGTCAATGAGATGATTGATTCACCACAGACACATAATATCAGAACTAGAATAGTGTAGATTAGACGGTAAATTATGTTGGCTGGCACTATAATTGAGTTATCGATGAAAGGAGAGATGGGCCATATGTATGTCACCTTAAAACTGTGCCTCTTGGCAGCTGGGCCTTGTAGTATGATGAGTGGCTATGCTCATAGAGTGAAGAGTGGTGGTTCGCCTCCACCCCGTCCCACTCAAGGTTATCCCACCATTCCTTCTCACAGTCCACACTAGGCAGCTTCTCGTTGTTTCCGCTGACAGCAGGAAGGCACCTGAGGCTCCAACAGCCCCTGATCTTGACGGTCTCCAAGTTGGGAGCCGACATCCTGCTCCCACAGATGCGCCGCAGGTTGGGAAGCTCATAAAGGTGGATGCTCCTTAGCTTTGGAAACATTATAACTTTCTGCTCCTTTTGCCTAGGGTCCAAAGCGAAGACCTCCCTCAGATCACCGCAACACACAATTTTCAGGGTATCCAGGTGTAACACCCACGATGCGGCTATATCTCCCACGTGTCGGAGCACGACTTAGAGGTATAACCGCATAGTAGGCATGTCGCAAGAGGGGTAATCTTTACACATCCCATGTACCGAATAAGAAAGGGGTAAGAGTTGGCTTACAATCGCCACTTCACACAATACATAAATATAGCATTACATCATCCAGAATACAATCAAGGTCCGACTACGGAACCAAATAAAGAAAGACAACCCCTAATGCTAGATCCCCGATCGCCCCGACTGGGCTCCACTACTGAGCAACTGGAAACGAAACAATACAACGAACACGATCTTCATCGAGCTCCTCATTGAGCTAGGTTGCGTCGCCTGTGCGGTTATCATCGGCACCTGCAACTGTTTGAAGTAATCTGTGAGTCACGGGGACTCAGCAATCTCACACCCTCGCGATCAAGACTATTTAAGCTTATGGGTAGGAAAGGGGTAGTGAGGTGGAGCTGCAACACTAAGCATATATGGTGGCTAACTTACACAAATGAGAGCGAGAAGAGAAGCAAAGCATGATCGTGAACTAGAAGTGATCAAGAAGTGATCCTGAAACTACTTACGTTCAAACATAACACAAGAACCGTGTTCACTTCCCGGACTCCGCCGGAAAGAGACCATCACGGCTACACACGCGATTGATGCATTTTAATTAAGTTAAGTGTCGGGTTTTCTACAACCGGATATTAACAAATTCCCATCTGCCCATAACCGCGGGCACGACTTTCGAAAGTTCAAAACCCTGCAGGGGTGTCCCAACTTAGCCCATCACAAGCTCTCACGGTCAACGAAGGATATTCCTTCTCCCAGGAAGACCCAATCAGACTCGGAATCCCGGTTACAAGACATTTTGACAATGGTAAAACAAAACCAGCAAGACCGCCCGAATGTGCCGACAAATCCCGATAGGAGCTGCACATATCTCGTTCTCAATGTTGGGTAACGTAGTAATTTCAAATTTTTCCTACGCACACGCAAGATCATGGTGATGCACATCAACGAGAGGGGAGAGTGTTGTCTACGTACCAACGCAGACCGACTTCGGAAGCGATCACACAACGTAGAGGAAGTAGTCGTACGTTTTCCCGATCCGACCGATCCAAGCACCGTTACTCCGGCACCTCCGAGTTCTTAGCACACGTACAGCTCGATGACGAACCCCGGGCTCCGATCCAGCAAAGCGTCAGGGAAGAGTTCCGTCAGCACAACGGCGTGGTGACGATCTTGATGTTCTACCGACGCAGGGCTTCGCCTAAGCACTGCAACGATATGATCGAGGTGGAATATGGTGGCAGGGGGCACCGCACACGGCTAAGGAACGATCACGAGGATCAATTGTGTCTAGAGGTGCCCCCTGCCTCTGTATATAAAGGAGCAAGGGGGGATAGGTGCGGCCAGCCTTGGGCCGCGCCAGGAGGAGTTCTACTCCCTCTGGGAGTAGGATTCCCCCCCAATCCGAGTTGGAATAGGAATCCTCAAGGGGGGAAAGAGAGAGAGGGGGGCCGACCACCTCTCCTAGTCCTAATAGGACTAGGGAAGGGGGAAGGCGCGCGGCCACCTTGGGCTGCCCCTTTCTCCTTTCCACTAAAGCCCACTAAGGCCCATTTAGCTCCCGGGGGGTTGCGGTAACCTCCCAGTACTCCGGTAAAAACCCGATTTCACTTGGAACACTTCCGATATCCGAATATAGGCTTCCAATATATCAATATTTATGTCTCGACCATTTCAAGACTCCTCGTCATGTCCGTGATCACATCCGGGACTCCGAACAACCTTCGGTACATCAAAATGCATAAACTCATAATAATTGTCATCGTAACGTTAAGCGTGCGGACCCTACGGTTCGAGAACAATGTAGACATGACCGAGACACGTCTCCGGTCAATAACCAATAGCGGGACCTGGATGCCCATATTGGCTCCTACATATTCTACGAAGATCTTTATCGGTCAGACCGCATAACAACATACGTTGTTCCCTTTGTCATCGGTATGTTACTTGCCCGAGATTCGATCGTCGGTATCCAATACCTAGTTCAATCTCGTTACTGGCAAGTCTCTTTACTCGTTCTGTAATACATCATCCCGCAACTAACTCATTAGTTGCAATGCTTGCAAGGCTTATGTGATGTGCATTACCGAGAGGGCCCAGAGATACCTCTCCGACAATCGGAGTGACAAATCCTAATCTCGAAATACGCCAACCCAACATCTACCTTTGGAGACACCTGTAATGCTCCTTTATAATCACCCAGTTACGTTGTGACGTTTGGTAGCACCCAAAGTGTTCCTCCGGCAAACGGGAGTTGCATAATCTCATAGTCATAGGAACATGTATAAGTCATGAAGAAAGCAATAGCAACATACTAAACGATCGGGTGCTAAGCTAATGGAATGGGTCATGTCAATTAGATCATTCAACTAATGATGTGATCCTGTTAATCAAATAACAACTCCTTTGTCTATGGTTAGGAAACATAACCATCTTTGATTAACGAGCTAGTCAAGTAGAGGCATACTAGTGACACTCTGTTTGTCTATGTATTCACACATGTATTATGTTTCCGGTTAATACAATTCTAGCATGAATAATAAACATTTATCATGATATAAGGAAATAAATAATAACTTTATTATTGCCTCTAGGGCATATTTCCTTCACTCAGGGCACACCGGATGAACAAGACGTCGGGTTGGCATAGACCCTGGTTGCCCAGGGGGCGCCGGACATCGCTCAGGTCGGACCAACACTTAGAGAAGCACTGGCCCGGGGGGGGGGGGTTAAAATAAATATGACCCTCGGGCTCGCGAAAACCCAAGGGACGGTGATAGGTTGTTAGTACAAATGTAAAACCAAGGTTGGGCCTTGCTGGAGGAGTTTTATTCAAGGCGAACTGCCAGGGGGTTCCCATTATAACCTAACCGCATAAGGAACACAAAATCAAGGAACAAAACACCGGTATGAAGGAAACTAGGGCGGCAAGAGTGGAACAAAACACCAGGCATAAGGCCGAGCCTTCCACCCTTTACCAAGTATATAGATGCATTAAAGTAAACAAGATATAATAATGATATCCCGACAATATCCATGTTCCAACATGAAACAAACTTCATCTTCACCTGCAACTAACAACGCTATAAGAGGGGCTGAGCAAAGCGATAACATAGGCAAACAACGGTTTGCTAGGACAAGGTGGGTTAGAGGCTTGACATGGCAATATGGGAGGCATGATATAGCAAGTGGTAGGTACCGCGGCATAGCAATAGAGCGAGCAACTAGCAAGCAAAGATAGAAGTGATTTTGAGGGTATGGTCATCTTACCTGCAAAGTTCTCCGAGAAGACGAAAGCTTGATCCTCGTAAGCGTACTCAATGGGTTCCTCGAACATGAACTCGTCTCCCGGCTCTACCCAAGGCAAGAACACAAGCAAAGGAAAACAACAATCAACCACGGTGCAATGCGCAAGCAATATGATGCAAAACATGGCATGATATGCGGGATGTGATATGCAATGCAAATGCATGCTCCGGAAGGAAAAGATTAAACCAGACATCAACTTGGCAAACCAAGAGTGCCGCTGGAAAGATGAGTTGATTTCGGTCGAAATCGATATAAAGATCGCCGGAAACGGATGCACGGTTTGCAAATGGCAAGCAAAACAATAATGGCACAATTCTGCGATTAACAACACGATGCCATCTAGAATGCAACAAGAAACTAAGCTACTGCACTCCAACATAGCAACAAAGCACATGGCAGTGATCTACTCAAGATTCTTGACAAAAGATGAACACTGAGCTATGGCTAAATCACACAAGAGAAGGCTCAAACAAGTATGGCAAAAGTGCAAAAGATATCAGCATCACAGACTTGGTGAAAATAACAACATGTCAGGAATTAACATTAGAAGCAATGTTTAGAGCAAGATAACAACATGCTACAGGAAGAGGACATAGCAAAGCAAGGCATGTCATGAATCTACTCAAAGCATATAACAAAAGTCCCTTACTGACCATAACCCAAAAAGGATCAGAAGATATGATGGCACCCATGTAAATATAGCAAGTTTCGTTAACAGATTCAGACTTAGCAGAAAACTGGACATGGCATAAACAGAAATACGAAGGCATGTTTGCGAGCTCAATGCACTCAACAAAAGGCATTGCATGACAAACTAAGCATACTCCCAGCAAGAAGACATGATCAAGAAGCTAACCATGGCAAGAACAATCTCATAGCATGCATGGATCAACTACAACAACCTTGGCAAAATTGATTAACACGTAAACAATCTGCCAGGAACATTTTATAGTAAAAGTAGAGCAAGATTGAGTCATGCTAGGGCACTCTATAAATGCAAACAGGGACATGGATGGATAGAGCACAACCATATGTCTAAATCATCCTTACTGAACATACTCAAAAGAAGCATGGATCTCTCTGTAGCAACATGAATACATGGCATAAAAATAACAGCAGAGCAAAGACTTAGTGGAATTCTAAGTCTCTGAAATCAGCAATATTACGAGAGCTACTTTGTATGCTTGTGCTAGTCACCACATTGATCACAAAAATACATGGCATACACCCGGCATGGCATAGCCCAAAACACATGTAGAGCTCATGCTCATATGCAGCACACAATAATCATGGCAAAATGACAAATGCTCATAAACTGATAAGAAACAACACCTAACATTTTATAGCACTCTTGCATCAACAATTTAGGCATCAAGATGGACTCAAACAAGCATGGTGCAATGGAACAAAATGAAGAGCTCAACCAGATGAACATTTTGATATATGGCACGCTCAAAACAGAGCTACGGATGTGGAGTTATGACGCGATGAACATGGCCTGAAAATATGAGGGGGAAAAGGACTTAGTAGAAATTAGACCTCGCGGGAACCGGGACGAGGAGGACCCGGGACGAGGAGATCCGGGCGGGGCGAGGGCGTTTGGATGGCCGCGCGGGTGGATCTGATCCACCGCGCGGTGGATCCGGACAGGGCGGACGGCGACGGGCCTCCGGGCGGGGGAGCTCGCCAGTGGCGGCGACCGGCGAGGCGAATGGTGGGAGGGAGGCGAGGCGACGGCGGTGCAGGCGGAGGGGGTCCGGCCCGCGGCGGAGGTCGGCGAGCTCGGCCATGGAGGGCGGCGAGCCTGGCGTCGCGGCGGCGGGGTCCGGCGAGGGTGCCGGTGGCCGGGCGGAGAGGGCGCCGCGGTGGAGGTCGACGTTGAGGCGCGGGTGACGCAGTTCGGTCAGCGGCGGCACGCGGAAACCGGCGAAGGTCCAGCGATGCGATGCGGGCGACTCGGCCCAGATCCGGCCCGGGGCGGGCCTGCCTCGGGCCCCGACGAGCCTGGCGGCGAGGAGGAGAGAGAGGAGGCGCGGCTGACACGTGGCGGCGGTGGATAGGCTCCAGGCGGCGACGCGTCGATGTGGCAGCACCGGATTGGACCGGGTGAGGTGGCGGGTGGACGCGTCCGGCGGCGTGAGTATGAAGATGGCTAGGGTTTGATGTGCGCGAGAAATTTGGAGGGAGACACATATATATATATAGGTAGAGAGAGCTAGGAGAGTCCAAATGAGGTGCGGTTTTCGGCCACGTGATCGTGATCAAACGGCCGAGAGGATGGAGGCGGTTTTGATGGGTTGTTGGGCCACTTTGGAGGGGTGTTGGGCTGCAACACACACGAGGCCTTTACGGTTCTCCGGTTAACCGTTGGAGTATCAAACGGACTCGAAATGGCATGAAACTTTATAGGCGGTCTACCAGTGGTATACCAAGGCCGCTTGGCAAATCTTGGTCCAATCCGAGAACGTTTAACACCCGCACACGAAAAGAGGCAAAAGGGGCGCCGGAGGATGTAGGAGCGCCGGATGGCAAAATGGACAACAGGAAAAATGCTCGGATGCATGAGACGAATACGTATGCAAATGCGATGCACACGATGACATGATACGAAATGCATAACACACAAACAAATGACAAGGCAACAACAGCGAATAACTGGAAAACACCTGGCGCAACGGTCTCGGGGCGTTACACCAGGCAAGGCAAAGTGTCCACATACACAGACAAGGGAAGCACATGTATGAGCCTAGGGCAATAATCCAGGTGCAACAGTACTACGTGTACAGAGGAAAACACACGCATTGCACTCCAATACCAGATATAGCGTGCCTTCAGGAGTTGAGATGCCCAGAATGTGCTCAACTCATGACAGAAGCTATCACCCTCACTTTGTTGGGCAGTACGAAAGACAGTACACAGCTCGGGGCACCACTCGACTCGGCACCATTCACGGCTCATCCAGTATGAACCTTGTGGGCATGTGATGCAAGTGATGGAGGAGCTATCATGCACATGAAGCATGCGAGCATTGTTAAATGCCTAGCAAGAGAGTGAATCAACACAAATATTAATTCCGTCGATGTTGCTCTGTTGTTGCTGCAGTAATCCCCTTGAGGGAGTCCTGGATTAGGGGGTATCCGGACAGCCGGACTATATCCTTTGGCCGGACTGTTGGACTATGAAGATACAAGATTGAAGACTTCGTCCCGTGTCCGGATGGGACTCTCCTTGGCGTGGAAGGCAAGCTTGGCAATACGGATATGTAGATCTCCTTCCTTGTAACCGACTCTGTGTAACCCTAGCCTCCTCCGGTGTCTATATAAACCGGAGGGTTTAGTCCGTAGGACCAAGAACAACAATCATACCATAGGCTAGCTTCTAGGGTTTAGCCTCTTTGATCTCGTGGTAGATCAACTCTTGTATTACTCATATTATCAAGAACAGTCAAGCAAGACATAGGGTATTACCTCCATCAAGAGGGCCCGAACCTGGGTAAACATCGTGTCTCCTGCCTCCTGTTACCATCTGCCTTAGACACACAGTTCGGGACCCCCTACCCGAGATCCACCGATTTTGACACCGACATTGGTGCTTTCATTGAGAGTTCCTCCGTGTCTTCATCGTTAGGCTGAATGGCCCCTTCAATCATCGATAGCAATGTAGTCCAGGGTGAGACTTTCCTCTCCGGACAGATCTTTGTATTCGGCGGCTCCGCACTGCGGGCCAACTCGCTTGGCCATCTGGAGCAGATCGAGAATTACGCCCCTGGCCACCAGGTTTTGGAAGCATAAACCACACGGCCGACATCCACGGAGACTTGATCTTCGATAGATTCGAGCCCTTGCCGAGTGCGCCGCACGGTCACGATGAGCATGATTTAGCTCTACCGTCGGACAACATTCGGGAGATCGCACCGGCGACCGTTCCGACCCTCAATTCGGAGCCCATTGCGCCATCCAAGGATGGGTGGATAGACCCCGTCACGGAGGTCGCATCTTCAGCGGCGATCGAGCCAAATACCGACCTTACCCTTCACGGGAGCCGTGACGCCGAACTGCCGGACTCTTCCCCGGCCATGGACTCCGAACCGCCTGCGCCCGTGCCTATCGAATCCGACTGGGCACCGGTCATGGAGTTCACCTCCGCGGATATCTTCAAGCACGCGCCCTTTGGCGACATACTGAATTCATTAAAGTCTCTCTCCTTGTCAGGAGAGTCCTGGCCGAACTATGTCCGACAGGATTGGGATGCGGATGATGAAGAAATTCGCCGCCCACCCACCACCCACTTAGTAGCCACTGTCGACGATTTAACCGACATGCTCAACTTCGGCTCCGAAGACATCAACGGTATGGACGATGATGCAGGAGACGAACAGGAGCCACTGCCCACAGGGCACTGGACGCCCACTTCATCATATGATGTATACATGGTGGACACACCCAAAGAAAACAACGATGAGGAACGGAAGCACGCAGCGAAGGATCGATCCCTCAAGAAGCAGTCAAAGCGGCGGTGTAAGCAGCGCTCCAAATCCCGTCTTGGTAGAAACAGTGATCATATATACCTAGCGATAGAGCAGGGTGAGCCAGCGGATGACGAACACGGCATTGAACCACCGTCCGACCACGGCAACACGGAGAATCAAACCGAACAACCCGTTTCCAATGAAGATAGCAGTCCGGATGACATCACACCGGACAGGCACACAGAGCAACAGAATCCCCATCAAAGGCTTGTTGCCACTGCGAGGAGTCTGAAAAAGCAGAAGCAAAGGCTCAGGGCTGCACAAGACATACTCAGAATTAGATGGAGTAAAGTACTCAACACCGCAGCAAAGTACGGCGGCAGTCGCCACACAAAGAGCTACCTGAAACGAAAGCTGCTACCTGAATTCGATGATGAGGCCTTAGAGCCCCCGCAATCAAAAAACAAAACAGCCATCCGGTCAGATAGACGACCTCGTGGCCAACATAGAGCGGCAAACGACACCGCAAACAAGCCAGTAAGCGATCCACGTGAGGACACGCATCAAAAGGACGACACAACCAGATCCATCTACGGGCCGAGCAAGTGCGCTCCAGCAAGCAATGCAACACAACAAAAATCCGAACACCACGGTACACCCAAATACAGGGGTGCCACACACCCCCTATGTTTCACCGATGAGATACTGGACCATGGATTTCCAGAGGGATTCAAACCTGTAAACATAGAGGCATATGACGGAATGACATACGCTGGGGTCTAGATTGAGGACTACATCCTCCATATCCACATGGCTCGAGGAGACGATCTCCATGCCATCAAGTACTTACCCCTCAAGCTCAAAGGACCAGCTCGGCACTAGCTTAAAAGCCTCCCCGAAAACTCCATTGGAAGCTGGGAAGAGCTCGAGGACGCTTTTCGGGCAAATTTTCAAGGGACCTATGTCCGACCACCGGATGCAGACGATTTAAGTCACATAACTCAACAGCCCGAAAGCTTTGGAACAGGTTTCTCACTAAAAATAATCAAATAGTCGACTGTCCGGACGCCGAAGCCTTAGCAGCTTTCAAGCACAGCGTTCGAGACGAATGGCTTGCCAGACACCTCGGCCGAGAAAAGCCGAGAACAATGGCAGCATTAACAAGCCTCATGACCCGCTTTTGCGCGGGCGAGGACAACTGGGTAGCCCGATGTAACACCAGCGACCCAATTACATCCGAAGTCAGGGACGGAAACGGGAAGCCACGACGCAGCAAAAACAATCGCCGGAATAAAGAAGACAGCCCGAAGAGCACGACAGTAAACACTGGATTCAGAAGCTCTCGGCCAGGTTAGCAAAAGCTGCCCTCCAAAGGCAACAGAGACGAACTGTCCAGCCTAAACAAGATTCTGGACAAAATATGTCAGATCCATAGCACCCCCGACAAACCTGCAAATCATACCCATAGAGAATGTTGGGTCTTTAAGCAGTCCGGCAAGCTCAACGCCGAACACAAGGGGCAAGATACACCAAGCGAAGACGAGGACGAGCCTCGCAAGCAAAGCACTGGGGAACAGAAGAAATTCCCACCAGAGGTCAAAACAGTAAATGTGTTACACGTGATAAAGGGGAGAAACAAAGCGACACTCCTAGAGACACATGCCCCAGGGCCTATCACTGCGGAGTTTTGCCACTGGTCGTCCCAACCGATCACCTTTGACCATCGGGATTACTCGGCAAGCATCCGACATGCAGGATGGGCTGCCTTGGTGTTAGACCCGATAATTGACGGATACCACTTCACACGAGTCCTGATGGACGGCAGCAGTAGTTTAAACCTGATATATCAGGACATAGTCTACAAAATGGGGATAGACCCAACAAAAATCAGCCATAACAATACTACCTTTAAAGGAGTAACGCCAAGCCCAGAAGCCCATTGCACGGGCTCCCTGCTACTAGAGGTTATATTCGGCTTTCCCGATAACTTCCGCAGCGAAAAGTTAACCTTCCACATCGCTCCATTCCAAAGTGGCTATCAAGCACTACTCGGACGCGAAGCTTTCGCTCACTTTAACGCAATACTGCATTACGCTTCCCTCATGCTTAAGATGCCCGGGCCACGTGGCATCATTACAGTAAATGGAAATATTGAGCGCTCCTTGCGCGCGGAAGACCGTGCGGCTGCCTTGGCAGCCGCACACTAAACGGCCTCACCAACTAGAGCATCTGACAGGTCGTTAAGACCACGGACGCGGTTAGACGAGTCCGGTGTAGCTATATATAATTGATACAGGTTTGATGGCTATACCCCTATAACATTACAAGGGGCTCAACGCGTGTAAACAAGTGACAATTAGGCTCACCTTTACTCATCTTGAACTATACATGGTTTATTTAGTATAACCTACCTTTTGCACGACAAATTTTCAGCTAAGTTCCTCTCTTTTACAGATGACCATCGTGCTACACCCGTCCAGGATACGGCACAACGGAGACACATGCGCAGACGTGCGGCAGGGACCCGTTCCAAGGATTCTTTTTAGATTAAGACCCTGCATAAACCTTTTTTACTGTCTCTTGTTGATACACATCCCCTGGATTCTCAGTACAATTGAGAAGGATGCTGATGTATTGGCATGTGGCCACGTCAGAATATTGCACATACCTGGACACCAGGGGCTTATTACAAAGGGCACTGTTTAGCCCGGTTTACATCATAAAGACCGAATACCTTAGGGAGTGTTCGGCATCGCGAGTTTGGCCTTATATGCATCAGCTCCGAATCATGTCTTTGGTCAAATGTTGGGTTTGCCCGGCTCCTGTGTTTTGCTGCCTTACGTTCCACTCTATCGGCTAAGGCGGCACCAGGAGAACTATTGTGATTGTGCCCTGGTTCATCCAGACGAGCACCTCAGTAGAGAAAGCCAAAAACTGACTGTCATGATATAGCGTGAGACTGGTCAACCACTTGATGACCTAGCGGAATCTTCGGGATTCCTCCGCCTTAACGAAGGGCCGTTTCCCGGCCAGGCATATACGCGCCCCGAATTCGGATGAGCGCGGAGCCACCAGGGGCTATATAGTAGCCCCACTGTCAAACTCCTCTGGCTAAGTGAAAGTGTTAAAGCATTATAGTCCGATTGCCTAGTTCGCTGCGCTATCACCTCCTTAAAGGACCAAGACGTTGGATCAAGTGTGAACATGCGTCTTCTGTGAGCACCCCCGCATTATATGCGTGGGGGCTGAAGCCGACGACTGCCATCTTTCAGGTTATATACATATATACATAAACGGCCGCACAGGAGGTATTATAATTCTTTCAGGCACAAGTATAAAATAGCCTTTACAATTCAGTAAAACATTGTTTTTCAATGGGAATACATGCCATTAGAACATAATATTCTTCGAGCACTGCACTTCTATTGAACGAGCGCCCTCAAGAACTTCTCGAAAGTAGTGCTCGGATGGTACTCGGCTCTCGTCCGAATCTTGGACTACAATGGCGGTGGCTCCATCCCCGCCTAGTATGTCTTCACACGGGCAAGGGCCA